GTAGTCCCAAGCGGGCAAGATAGCTCCATCTTACCCGCTCGGGTAGCCAATCACAGTGCAGGATTTGATTCATCTTGCCCGCTCGCAGAGCTAGCCATATAATAAAATGTCATAATGGCATGCTACTGACCTTAAAAAACCTTTTAAGTTTTTGGACCTTCTATACACTCACAAGCCAGGGATGCGGAGCAGGAGGAATTCTCCCAGGTTTCCCCACCCCTCCAAAATGCCCAGTCTGAATGAATGTTGTCATAGTAAGGGAAATCATGAGCTGTGGGATCTAGCATATTGAGAGCAACTTACTTTCCACTGTTCCTCTTCTTCTTTTTCTAGTCTGAAATTATGGAATAAAATAGAGAGTGTTAGTTGACATCAAGTGTAGGCATCAGATATTTTTTCAGTATCAGCATCATAGTTTGGTGTTAAGGTTAAAGTTTTTACGCTTGCTTTTGTTTTAGTAACTTTCTGTATTTGTTATATTAATTTGTACATTGTACATATTCAGTTTGAGTGAAATTTATTTCAGTACTGTTTCAGTTTCGGTTGTTACATGTTAGCCAGTTATTGGAGTTTGTGCCAAGTTTTTTCATTTATTATTTTATTTTCGTTTTCCTGCATTTTTTATGATGTTTCCAATAAAATATTGCACGTTTATTCCTTTATTTGCTATTTCTTTGTTTTCAATTACTGTGTTCAGTCTTGGAATAAATTTGGTGTCTGGTGATTTTCACTAATTGACTGCCCATACTCTACGATAATAAACTAAATAACACTGAAATTTTAAATTTATGTGTACCCATATTATGAGGAACTTCACTACAGAAGCAAATTTCAGTGTCCATAGCAGTGTGATAGCAGTACAATGGAACCCCGTTAATACGGTCACCAATGGGCCATAAACATTTTTGGCCGTGTAGTAGGGTAGGGTCAAATTTCATGATTGGTGTAAATTGACTGAAGGATTATACAGGTTGGGATTTCAGAATGTGGCCGTTGGCTGTATTTAAGGGGTGGCTGCATTAATGGGGTTTTCTTATTAAAAAAAAAAGTGTGTGTGGGCATTTCACCGGGACCAAAAGTGGCCGTAATAATGAGATGACCGTTCCACTGTGTTGAGAGAGGAACGGAATTCCACTTCTATGATGACTGCAAGTATATTTCTCAATAGCTGACCTTTCCTTCTCTTCTTTCAGTTTCTTTTCATCTTTGCCTGCCATATCTTCTCTTCGTTTTCTCAAAGTCTTAACAACTTCAGACACTTCCTTATTCTGCTCCTTTGCTGGGATCCCTATTTTAGCGTTTGTTATTTTCTTTTCCACATTCTTGTTGGACGTCTCTGTTCCTGAGAGGAGGCTGACTTTTTCTACATTGCCACATTCTGGCCCAGTTTCTACACAAACACAAATACACACTCTGTTAGCAAATCTCACATTTTTATGTGAATATTGTATGACTCTGTCGGTGGACAACTTAAAACTCTGTTGACTTCCCAGTTCTCTCCTAAAAACGCAATTGTAATCTTGAAACTCAACATAATTTAACTAGCTTTCAAAATTTCGAAATAGCTCTTCCCANGTTAGAACCACCTTGCACAGCATAATAAACAGTACCACATGAAAGTACTGCTCAATAGCTTTCATTTGAAAAGTCAAACACTAAGGTTTTTTCAGAGATTGAAACGTCCATGTATCGCAAAATTACATGTAATCGTATATGAAATTAGCGCTAAGCAATCCCTCAATAGAAGGCTGGACCAGCACTGGCTAAAAAGAACACTTTGGCCAGACCACACCCTACCCCCAGTCTCCGCGCTCATTGACTTTTGCAAAGGAGTCCATCTTGTTTTCAACTTCTGTTGTTTCTCCAACCATTTCTATGTCAGTGTCACCTTCGACGTCACCACTTTCTCTTGAAGGCTCCTCAGCAGTTTTAGAAAGATTGTGTAAGTTCCACCAGCCTTGCTCTACAAACACTCCTGCCGCTGCTCCATTGAACAGCCAATAACGGGCATGATTACGATCACATCCAATGGGATTCAGTCTTAGAGTGCACTGACACTGAGCCATGTTAATCTGCAAAGAAATAAGGAATACTCGTATCATGGAACAATTTGGTATGACATGTCATTGTTTACAGAACTCAACGTTGACCATATTTTGACCGGCACTGTTTTCCTAAATTTTGAAATTTCCTAAAAACCATCGGGCAGAATAGTGCGACATATGCAAATATCAATGAGCTGTCACGGCGGGCCATTCAAATCGGCAACGCTCAATGAAATCGGCACAATAAGAGAGAAAATGGGCGAATTTGGCCAAGGCCACTGACTTCAATCGCGATTTATTGATTTCGCAGTAACTAGCGCGAGGTTTTCTAAGATAATAGGGCGGATTTTTGTAGTTCCAGGGTTGATCTTTAATTTTATCAAAAAACTAACTGAAAAGAACGGAAATAAGTTCCAGACTTTTAACATAGAAAGTTGTACTTATTTCGGTGTTTCTAGTATGGGAAACGACCCTCATTAAATTTAAAAGTTCATTTTCTCACAAAGCACGCAACAATCTTCCGATAATAGATCGGATTAGATCGCATTTATCGATTTTTCCCTGAGATTCGAGCGAAAGAAGTTCCACACTTCTACGTTTTTAAGTCCGAGGTTCAAAATTCGAGCGTGTTATGGAGATTCAGGGGATTCAGGTCATTGTCTTTCCAAAGATAATAGCTGCTATGAAAAAAACAATGCGAAGGAAACTATTGACGAAATGTAGTCATCTGTAAGTAGAGGCTATTGACTTGCAAATGTGAGCTGAAAAAGTACGAAATCTGTAGACGCGCGAATTTTAAATAAAGCACGATTTCAGTTACCAGTGTTCGCGAACTCACTGAGAGGTCCGTAAAAATGATCGATGCGAGGATAAAGGATTTCGACCAGGAGCCGGAGCTCTTTTCAGAGGTCACAGAACCCCTGGTTCAGCCTTTACTCGTACATATGGTCCTACCATTTGCTAACCGGACCGATCCTAAATTCTGCTTACAAATCAACGGGAATGTTTTGCGGAAGTGCAAAAAGTTGGATGGGAATTTAAAGAAACTGTTCGCGGTCCTTCAAGCGAACTTACGGCCGAATGGATACAGGCTCGAGGAGTCTGCCTACGATCGTGTCAGTAATTTGCGGAACACGAAAACTAGAACTTTCGTAAACAAGATAAAAGCCGAGGATAACGGAGAGAAAGACAAAGAAAAGTTTAGACATCAGTAAATTGCACATACATGAGCAACTTAACGCTTTCTCTTCGTTTCTCAAAATTAAAATGAAAGAACCTGAGCGTGATCCAAGGACGAGCTATGTTTTTATTTCGAAAGAAAATCAAGCGAGTGCGTTCAAAGAAGGGCGCGTCTTTTTACAGTTTAATAGAAATCCGCCGACCACGCTATTATTTTATAGTTTGAAAGAAACTCAAGCGAGCACGGTCCAAGATTTTCATGACCTTCACCTATCTTTAAAGCAGCAATAAGAAAAGCATTCAGTTTAGTGAAACCAAGGAAAGCATTTGTTACGCATCAACCAACCTTTGCAAACTCAATGATTTTGAGAAACAAAATTAAAGCGATAACAATAGCGCTCGCCGTTCACTGTTTGTCTGTCCCGCCTACTCTAGCATAATGAGTTGTGTAATATTCCCTGTGGAGCATAGCATGCGTCTTAGCAACCAATGAATTAAGTTCTGTTTGATCGTTCATGTATAATAACGCGAAATATAACAGATCTAGAATCTCTTGAACTGCAAGTATAAATGTCGCGAGAACAATAGCCATTCTGTCTTGCTGTAACTTATAAGTTCAGTGTCAGTTGTTGTGTTCTAATTAAATGTGAACTCATAATGTAATTACCACGTCATATAATGTCATAATGGCATGCTACTGACCTGAAAAGAACCAAAAAAAAACCTTTTTGGACCTTCTATGCACTCACAAGCCTGGGATGCGGAACAGAAGGAATTCTCCCAGGTTCCCTCACCCCTCCAAAATGCGCAGTCAATTTGTCATAGTAAGGGAAATTATAAGCTGTGGCATCTAACATATTGAGAGCAACTTACTTTCCACTGTTCCTCTTCTTCTTTCTCTAGTCTGAAAAATAGGGAGTGTTAGTTTACATTAAGTGTAGGCATCAGACATTTTTTTTCTGTATCAGCATCATTTTCTTTTGGTAACTCTTTCTTTAGTGACTCTCTTGGCCAGTTTTTAGAGTTTGTGGTACGTTTCGTCAATTATTATTTTGTTTTCGTTTTCCTGCATTTTTTTATGTCATTTACAATAAGTTACTGTACGTTCATTCCTTTACTTGCAATTTCTTTGTTTTCATTACCGTGTTCAGTCTTGGAATAAATTTGGTGTCTGGTGATTTTCACCAATTGACTGCCCATACTGTAAGATAATAAACTAAATAACAATGAAATTTTAAATTTACGTGTACGCATATTTATGAGGAACTTCACCACAGAAGCAAATTTCAGTGTCCATAGCA